TGGATTATGATGATGTTTTGGACATGAATGCTCCTACTCCAAGCCTTCTTGAGTAAACGTCGGCGTGGTTATTTGAGAAGCCGTTCTACCTTTCAGACCTTTCCACCCTATTAATCCTGAAGGAGAGAATTCACAACCAATGTTTATTGGACATTAAGCAGTTTGTTGCTCCAAAAGTCCACAACTGAATCGGGAAAGAGAGTTTTTAGATATTCAGCACCTTTTTCCTGGAACAATGTAAAGAATCTACAGACCGTTCTTGACCAGGTCTCCCTTAAAAAAGGGATCTTTAATATCATTGGGACTAACCTGGCTAAATAAAGGTCAGATTAATATGCATAGATATCACAATGATTGATTTGTTCAAGCGTTAAGGAGGTTATAAACTCTCATATTATATTGAAACTTGCCTCAAAGTTAACAAGTGTCAACCACAGGTCTCTGAACTCTGCATAACCTGCATTAAGATTCATTAAAATTCTCTTCACAGCGAGAACAGATTGTCCAAACTCAAACTTTCTTGCACTGAACAGAAACATAAAGAAAAGCTAAAGGTAATTTGTTTGGACAGGCTGCAGAGAAAAGTCTGTGAAAACAGAAAGAAGTGACGCGGAGGAGGAGCCGCACAATCACAGTAACAGAGGCGACGCCGAGGATCAGCGTGTGTGCAGCAGACTTACTCGGTTAACTTCCATGTTGATGATTAAATCTCACAGCTAAATAAGACATGCCAACACTTGTTAACTCATTAATATCAACGGTTTGATTTCTCTGAGCCGTGCTGGATTAATAAGCCGGGTGTGTGCACTCTGAGTTTAGAGAGTAAATGGGTTGATGTCTCTACGTGCCTGATGAGCTCCAAACAGAAAACAAATCTCCTCTCATCGGGAGCGTTTGAGTCGTCTTTTACTATTTTTAATCTGGAGTTGTGACCCTCTGTCTGTTCCTCTGTTTACTCAGGATCATTTCAATTAATCGCAGAGACTTCAGGTCAGTGAATTTACTGCTGGAGCTGCTCGTCTGATGACTACGCTTTGACTAAATCTCTCTGATGGTGAGCAGGGCTTCATCGATGAGTTAACATAACAGTGTGAGTGTGTGTGGGTATATATGTGTGTGTGTGTGTGTGTGTTTGTTGACAGGGCTGTCACGTCTGTGCGCTTGTAAGGGCACAAAGTTGGTATTTAGTGTGAACACAACGTTTTTTTCTTTCATTTAGATTGTCATATTGTTCAACTTTTCACTTTAATTGTATCACACACACCTGAAACTGTGCATATAATGGTGAGTACATTAAAGCTCCTATAGGTAAGTTTATTAAACACACTGAAAATCACATTAAGGGACTGAAGTGAAGCTGCAGGAGAAGGTTATTTTTATATTTTCCATGCAAAAAATTGACAATAATAATAAATTTTACTGTGAAAAATCTGCAATATTGATATTTTCGGTCGGAGGATGTTGTTGCTTTGTCCACAGGGGGCACCAAAACAGACACAAACTTTGAGTTCCCTACAGGAGCTTTAAACTCTTGTCTTTCTGATATTTTGTAGTTGTTACACTGATTGATATTGTTTAAATATTGTGACATTTTTCTTTATTTTTCTTAATTAAAGGCAACGTGAGGAGTTTTTAACTGGCCTCACTCTTTTACTGATTCATGACCTACATTGTAAAATGGCATTAACAGCGAGAAGATTGGTGATTTCCATGTTCTTGTCCGGAAAAAATGAAGAACATTAAAACAAAAAGATGTGTCTAAAATGAAACTTTGGTTAAAGTTATAGAACAAGAACTTAATGCTGAAAAAATATATAAATAAACTTTATTATTATCCTAAAAGTAGACATGGCAGACTGTACAGCTACATGGATTTATCCCAAAAATAGCAGTAGAGTGATTTTAAAACTAAGAAAATTAACCTAAATTAACCAAAAATAGTCATAATTAGTTAAAATAGTTTAAAAAAATCACACATTAAGATGAATTGATCTCAGATATTGGACTATACTAGAGAGTCCACCTTCAGAGTCTGTTTGAATTACTCTACATGTTTGGGGCACAAAAATTAAAGGCAGATTTCCCAAATCTGATGTAAACCTGTGGTACTTGAAGCATTAATAGTTAGTAGAATTACAGATTTTGGATACAGTGGCGCAATTTAGTACAATGATAATAATAATAATAACTTTATTTATATAGCACCTTTAAAAACAGAGGTTTACAAAGTGCTTTCACAGATAAAACAGAGGCAGAAACACGCAGAACTCTGTGGACAGTCAGGTCAAACAAAGACCATAAAGTCAGATAAAAAGTCACAGATTTGCAGATAAATACATTAATTGACGACAGTTGAAAATAAATAAAATAAAATGAGATAAAGTCAGGTAAAAGTAATTATGTTAAAGAAGGGAGTTTAACAAAACATGAAAAGATGTTTAAGACGGGACTAAAACGATGAGAAACCGGTGAGGAAGTCTAAAAAAGTGAGTTTTTCAGATGTGATTTCATAGATATTGCTGATTCAGCATGAATTAGACATTATACAGAGGGGTAAACGTCCAGTTTAGGATCTACAGAGAAGAAAAATATACAAGCGCTTTTATGAATCTGTGCCAGAGAGGACAAACTAACTTTGTTATACTGTCAACAATAATGATCTGCAGTTATAAATGTAAGAGCAGAGTGATAGACCGAGTCTTCCTGGTGCCAAAGTCCACTGACGAGGTTTTAGATGTCAATGATTCATCAACAAATCTGTTTATACTCTTGGACTCTCAAAGTTTGGTTTTGTCCACATTTAAACTAGTTTAAGACTAAGAGTCCATGTTCAAGAGCATTGGTGATAGATTATAGCCTCTAACAGAGCAATTGTGTGTTTACGTTGTGGTGAATTGTCGTCACAGAGGACAGGAATTTAAAGCTCATGTGGTAATTCCCACTCCAGAGTCATGTCTTTTTTCTGTATTTTGGTTTTTTTTTTTGCCTTTATTGATGGGATTGTGAAATATGAGAAGATAGAGAGAAAGGAAAGAGGACACGCAGTAAATGGTCAGGGCCGGACTCGAACCCACAACCACTAAGGGGACTGTGATTCCCATGCATGGGGCACGCTAACCCGCTAAACTATCCAGTCATGTCTGTTTTAAGCCAGAACATGGTCATGCACTGTTGGCTTCCTGTGAAGGGCATTCTCTCATTGGCTCATCAGGATCGGGTGTGTCAGAGCCTGATTGGCTGATTGAGACCAGGTGTGGGGAACTGATATATACACCCTCTTAGTGCTGACTCATTGTCTCATCCTCAGAGATAGTGAGAGGATATTAAAAAATCTTTTCCTGATCTAAAATAAGCTAACTGATAATTTAAGAAGCTCTTTTCTCATGAAGTCAAAATTGAGTCCAAGTGGTTAACTGTCATTACAGCAAAAAAAAAAAGTGGATTTCAGAGTTTGTTTGGAAAACACCAGCCACTAAAAAGAGCACAACAGGAGATCAGTATACCGGCCAGTACTTCACTGAACACTTCATCAAAACCTAACAGCAGTTTTACCTCGAGGATGGCTGATAAAGGTGTCAGTAAAAGCCCTTTGCTGCTCCTGCTCACAGTGAAGGATGTATCTCTGTGTCTGTTCAAACTTCAACCACAAACTAAAGGCCTCAGCTGAGTCTGTGCTAACCTGTATCAGCAGCTTCATCTCAACCATCATTCTCCAGTTTGCAGCGATTAAAATCTTGCCCACGATCCACGGTGACCCATAAAAGACGCCTACACCTGTCCCTGTGAAAGTCCACAAAGACAGACTGAACTCTTTGGACATCAGTGTCTTCATTTGGGACTCAAATAATCAACCTGGTTTGGAGTTAAAGTGGAGCACCGGCAGGTTAAGGTAAGACTCTGTTCATTATTATCTGCCGCCGAGCAGATTAACATCACAGCTATGTTGTTGTTGTTTTTTGTGCTGATACTTTCGCTGCAAAGTATATCTGACTTCACAAACTTGTTTTTTGCTGGTTATAGAGAGATGCACATTTGGATATTAGTGTATGTTGTTGATGTTGTGCCAAATGGACACGCAGTTGTGCAGCTGTGTGTTGGCTAATTGTGTTGTTGTCTGCTGTGTTTGTGTGAAGAAGCTGCAAAACTTGGTAACTTTTTACCTGTGGGTCGTAAGTTTGATGAATCATGTGCTACATGGATATAAGCTAACCTGTGTGATGCTAACCTGTGTGAAACATGGATGTTGGCTAACCTGTGTGTGTTACATGGATATAAGCTAATCTGTGTGATACATACAAGCTAACCTGTGTGATACACACAAGCTAACCTGTGTGAAACTTGCATGTTAGCTAACCTGTGTGATACATGGATATAAGCTAACCTGTGTGGTGCTAACCTCTGTGCTACATGGATGTATGCTAAGCTGTGTGATACATGGATGTTAGCTAACTTGTGCAATACATGAATGTTAGCTAACCTGTTTGCTATATCGATGTAAGCTAATCTGTGTGTGCTACATGGATGTTGGCTAACCTGTGCGATACATTAATACAAGCTAACCTTTTGTGTGGATAGGTGCAGTCCAGTGTGTTACAACTTTTTCACCTTGTTTCTCATGTTAGCTCTCCCTCGTAAAACAGGGTCTGTTTATTGCAAGACAGACATTTACTACTGATCACAGTACTGCAGGTTATGTTGTATTAAAGTGTGAATCAGCTGTGTGTTCGCATATGACAACTCTTAACTCATTAATGCTAATACTTGGCACTCGCGCCCTGTGGTGCAATCTGTGTGCGCTGCATATACTGATAATAATAATAATAATAATGATAATAACAACTTGATTTTTATAGCACTTTTCAAAATAAACATTTACAAACATGTAGTCATAAAGCACATGGAAAAAGACAGATACAAACAAAAGCTCAGTTAAAAGGAATTAAAGGCCATTTTCATAAATCATAAGGAACCCAGACACACAAGAACCAGGCAACATAAAATGAGACCATGAGGATCAAATTAAAAAACATAAACTAGTTTTTAAAAAAAAGAAAATGCAATTAAAAGGGGGGTTGAAAGTGGAAAACAGGATAGTAAAATTAAAAGACAATATCAATAATGATAATAAAATAATAAGTAATACTGATAATAATAGTAATGATCAAATAGAGCAACAGAAATGATCAAGAGAAAGAAAAAAAGCAATAAAAGGCCGAAAGGGTTAATTAAGAAAAGAGTATAATTATAACAAAAGCTAAAACATACTGAGTCCGAGGTAGCATGTAGAAAAACTTAATTGTTGAGGTGTGGCGTCTTGTATTTCCCTGCGGTGGTTCGCCATTACCTGTATGGAAAACTCTGCAGTTGATGTTGAATAGAGAAGTCCGATCTTCCCACAGCTCCTCTATCTGCTCCTTTTTATCGCCAGTATTTCTTCATTCATCCTTGTTCTTCTTGTTTTGACTGTCAGGTTTCCTTTTCCACTTTTGTCAGAGCTCATCTACTGGTTGTTGGTTGTGTTAGGTCACTGCTACTTGCGATAATATCAAACCCAAGACTAGGAAAAGACTGATAACAGTGCAGATTACCACTTAAACTTAACGATTGAGATGATGGGAGCGCACTGTGACTCTGCTGTGACTCCAGTAAAACTCCAAGATTTACCTCAGACATTCAGTTTTTGGTCTGGGACTGTGAAAATCGTTTGGTGGAAGCCCAGCATAAGAAATGTGACTGCAAAGAGATCGGCCTCTTTGTGTCGTCAGTCTATCATATTATATTTCTGAGTGTCCCTGTGTCGTTTTATCATTCGTAGATATTCCTGAGAGTTTGGTTCGGTTACTGCACGAGATGTTTCCACTGTCTCCAAACTGCCGAGTCACTCTCAGCTGCTGCAGGGACTCTCCTTTAAAAACATGATTAAGCAAACATGATTATCAGCGTGATATGCGGGACTGACAATCATGTTATTTTAGAGCTGCAGTGACCTGTATGTTCGCGTACACAATGGAGGGTTTATGAGGCGGAGGCCGTGACCTCTAAAACAACAACAAAGACTATTGAGGCGCTCACAATGAACATCCCACCAGACTTCAGCTGCTCGTATTCAACGTACAGTGACTTCTGATGAAACGGCACGATAAACTGGTGTGAAAAGAGAGACATAACACTGATTTAGCCTTCCTGGAAATCCCCTTTTCTTTGGTTTCATGCAAAAACATATACATATACAGCACAGATGTTTAAAAAGGAGTTTCTTTTTATTCAGGAAGTTGAAGTTGTATATATACAGGCGTGCACATGCAGGCTCTCTGCAGAGGCTGTTCTGGTCTACTGATACTGTGTGAATCATTTGTTGCTGCATAAAAGCAGCACAGGGTCAGAGTTGCAGCTCTGATAATTGCTTAATTGTTCTATTTATAAGCCGAATATGAACGACCTCAGCGTTGGCAGCGCCCCTTTGTTTCACATCTTTCAAAGCAGGAGGGATGACACACGAAAGGAGATAAAAATACAAGACGTTTACTTCTCTCTCCCTCTCTCTCTATCTCTCTCTCTCTCTCTGTCTCCGCGTCTCCAAGACGATGCTGAAGCCTCAGTATCAGGGGTCTGTCTGTGTCTTTGGCCCCGCTGTTCCCGTCCCCCCCTGCACAATGAAATTACAGCAGAGCGAGCATCGTCTCATGGAGGCAGATTCAAGGCCCATTTATTTGAGATTGCTTTTAGTGTAATTCAATAAAGGCTTTTTTACTCATTTATTTCCATGGTGAAATTCATGCTGAGGAAAAGCAGGGCTGTATTTCCCTCATTAGCAGTAATAATAACCATAATAACAATAATGGCATTAAAAAGCAATCATTTGAAAGATCCTGCCGTCAATGTCAGCCTCAAAGAGAAAATACAGTCGGACGTTGGACGTTATCTTTTTTGGTATTTACGAGAGAGATAATTTAGCAAATGTTTTATTATCATAGCGCACACACAGATGAATCAGACAAAGTACTCTGCAACTATAAAAGCCGCATTAAAACACAAAATATTTCTTTTATGTTCGGCTGGATGATGAGCTCTCTCCTGGTTTATTTTGACTCAGACTTTGAGTTTTCGTCCTGATTAGAGGAGAGAGAAATAAAGACCACATTAAAGTGGAGGTGGTGTAATCTTGAAGGCGAGGTGAGCAGAAAGAGGATTGGGGAGCAGCAGGATCCACAACTCCACCGTCAGATCCATTTTCCACCACTGGAGGCCAACTGGCTATCAAGATGGCGCCACCGTCGCCGGGGCTTACACACCAAAAACTTGGTTCTCCCTCTGATCTGCGGAGCAAGCACAGCCTCCCCGAATGCCCTGCAAAAATAAATATTTGAATATTCTCCGGCACTCCTAAACCAGCTTAAATTGGATCATTTTATTTCACCGCCTGCCCTTGCCAAAATGCCAAAAGAGTGTGGGTCTTGGCGAGCCTCTCGCGCCCAGGCACGCCACCCTCCCCCCGGCCCTGCCCACCCTCTGCACTATCAGCTGACACAGAGTCTGCCCCCGGGCCGCCTCCTTTCTCCTCGGCCACACTCCTGCTGAGCCGAGCTGGCACGGCGAGCCCACACAGACAGACAGACAGACAGACGTAGAGAGAGACAGAAAGAGAGAGAGAGAGAGAGAGGCCGGCGTCCAGAGAACGGCGACGTCAGCAGCATCAGGTGACTCTGTCGGCGTGGTCATCAGGCTGACGAAGAGGAAGAGGAGGAGAGGCTGCATCATCGGGCCTCCACGCAGAGCTGCTGACGTTCTCATGAAACGACCTCCATCTTTAAACTTCACTTCACGCACAGATGGACTCACTGGGTCCTGGAAGTCTTCTGGGGTCGGGTCTGTGCGACTCTACGGCCCCGTTAATATGAAATAAGCATGAACAGAAGAGTTCTGTTAACAGGCCACAAAGATGATAGCAAGATAAACACACAGCAGCATCATAAACATGAGTTTTATCTGTAAGAAGAATGAGTTTAGGGTTTCTGTTTTTAAAAAAATATTTTTTTTGTTTGTGTCTGAAAAGAAAGTTAAAATTGTGCAAATTTGAGAGGATATTTCACCATGAGAGTCTTTGGACTGAAACAAGAACGTAAGTGATGATAAAAATCATATTTATTTTGAGTAATATTTTTTAAAAAGGTGGTGCTGTTCAATAAAATAACTTTGAAGCTGAAGTTCTTTTTAGGATTTTTGCCTTATTATAAACTTTGAAACTAATGAGGCTCTTCAGACTTTTAACAGGGTTAAAAAAAAAATTTGTTGCATTTTGTTTTCTTGAAACAAAGCTTTGAAATAGTTGCTTTATTATTATTATTTTTATATTTTTTAATTTTGTTTTGTTTTCATGTGGACTCCATGAAGGCTAGCAACCACCTTGCAAAAGTTAAGTTAAAGATCAAAGTTGTAACAGTGAAAAGTTGTGTATTTAAAGCTCTCTGTATGTCATATTTGAGAAAAGTTTATCCAAGCATTGTTTCTCTAACTTTCAGAGGTATCATTTTAAACAAACAGCGGCTCAAAGTTTATTTTCAACAAGAATTTTTATTCACTTTAAGGTAAAAATTATACAATTTACTTGAATAAGCAAGTTAACATTCAAAAGTGGGCAGAAATGGTACTTTTAGAGAAAAATCTGATATTTAACTACATAAAAAATCACAGCAGGTCATTTTTACAATAGATTCAAGCTGATTAATGTTAAATAAGTTAACACAAATATACTCAAAAGTAACTGTTCATTATTTTAGTATCAGGCCACTGTGCCACTCTGATTTTCCTCCTTCAAAATAAAACAAAAACTGACCACAGGTTTAAATCAAAGCTTTTCACTCAGGATTAAATGACCGTTTTTGTAAATCCATGAAAAATAAAAACTCCTATGAATGGATGAAGGTGAAGACAGTTTGTTTCATGTCGAAGGCAAATAAAATACTAAAACACGATTTAAAATACACAAAGTTAATAAACTTTTCTGCATCTTCTGAGAGATCGACTTCAGTCCTCATCATCCTCTGTGGTGAAAACTTGCTGCTCATTTAAACCCTGTTTTTTTGTTTTGTTGCAACCTCTCCGTCCTGACCCTTACAGTAGACCACCACCCTCCTCCTCCTCCTCCTCCTCTTCTTCTCTCTCTGCCTCTCTCTGGGTCCTGATCCCTGACGGTGCTCCCTGCTCAGCTCAGAGCGTGAATCAGGTATCTGAGCTTAAACCGTTTTCCTGCAGCTGTGCTCTCGGTCGCTGCGTTTCAGTGGATTACAGCTCCTGTCTCTGCACACAGCGAGCGAGGAGAAAGTGAAAACACTCGCTGCTGAATGAGCTGTTTCTTTCCTTGAATTAAATTTCTGATTTAAAACTCTGTGATTTCATTTTTCTTCTCGGAGTTTAAACCCACAACTTGAGGGAAACGTTTGTCCAGCACCTGCATGATTAATATTTAATGTAGCTGATTTGGGAGTGAGGATTTCCACGGCCTTTAATCACTCGGGTCATTTCAGACTTACATTTATTGCTGCCTTTTTGCAGATATTCCCTCTTTTTTTGTGTACAACTCATCAAACTGCTTTCATCAGTTGTCTATAATTGCCTCATTAGAGTTCTCCTAATTATAGTGATCAAGAAATCTTCCATACATATCAGAAAAAGAAGAAAAAAACCCTCTTTCTCCACTTTGGCGATGTGCTGTATTAGATTCATTTTAACGCAGTGATCACTGGGCTCTCTGGCTCATCATACATGGTGTGTTACTGACACGCGTGGAGCCCGTCTCTTTAAAAGGCGCTGTGTGTTGAACATCTCTAACCTTGTGAGCCATCTGGCTTCATCAGGCTCAAATTTCTCTCCCCTTTTTCGGCTCTCTTTTTCCTCAAAATAATCTGTTGTGAAGTCTGGAAACAGAGCGTCCAAGATCCAGATGGCTGCTGAGGTTACAACACTTTTGATTTGAGCTGAAAATGTGAAAACAGACTGTATTTACAATCCAGACGTGGGCCGTGTGAAATGACCATAAAACATAAGCCAAACTGGGAAACACTCAGACTCCTCAACACCTTTAGAGTTCGACCTTTTGGCCGTCTTATCTTTGTCTTTTTTTCCAGGCCAGGCTGCATCACCTGGGCTGAATATTCCCCATCAAAAGTCCCGCCTCTCGATTTTATCTTTATTAGTCCTTCTTTGTTTCGTCCTTTTCAGCCTTTTCCTTTTTGAAGAGGAGAAATAATCGGATATATTTGGTCGCATCCATCGACAAACATTTTTCACTTGACATAAAGCCGTGTTATTTGCATGAATGCACATGTGGTCGCAGCCTTACGTCCTTATAAGGGCGTTAAAGAGGCGTCTACCTATGCAAAATGTTAACATTTAGCACGAGCTGCAAACTTAGGAGGACAGAGCATCCATCAGTTTGAGAGCACAGGTGTGAACTCTTCTGCAGGTCGAGGCCAGGTGCATGAATCTGCAGATCAACCTTCTTCAGATAATAGAAGAGGCTGTTAGTGACGGTATAAAATCTACGCAGTGAGTCGACATACATCTGTTTTCCTTCCCGTGTCATGTGATGAGTGCGAGGACATCAGGCTGAGTGTGACTGATGGACCCTCCAGATAACAAACTCTACAGTCTGCATGTCTGTCTGTCTGTCTGTCTGTATGTGTGGAGCTGCAGCTTGTGGTAAATTCATGCACTGTAAAGAGTGATTTCTGTGTGTTATTAGAAGCAGAGTTTTACAGTGTGTGATATGAATACTGGGTAATTTTGCTGTCATAAAACAGGGGGGAGTGGGAGGTAATGAATATTACACCGTCTGCTCTGTCCAGCCCCCCCTCTTCTTCTTTAATGTCTCTCTCTCTCTCCCTCTCTCTTTCCCTCTCTCTCTCTCTCTCGTGCAGCTGTAGCGTCCTCGGGGCTACTGGCTAACCAGATCAGGTGCTAAATTCACTAATTGAATAATTTCACTGGGCTCCACAATAGGCCCTTTGAAAAGCGCCTGCTCTTTGTGTCTGTCCTCGAGTGACTGAAAGTGGTACAGCCTTTTAAAGGAGAGAGGAACGCGCGGGGCTGCAGCGGTGGTGGAGTAAATGCACGGCGATGATGTGCAGGCTTTGTGTTGTTTAACAGCACCAGCCGCAGAGTATCCCGGCCCCTCAAGTGTATTGGATATCAATGAGCGGGGTTTCATAGCACAGTCTGCAGCAGCAGATTTGTTGAGATTGGATGTTTGCCTGTTGAAATCCGAGGATTGACTTAGAAAGTCTTATTTCTAAATCAGCTAATACAGTGGATATTGTGGATTGTGCTTGAATGACACATTTAACCCCCGATTAGTCTAAAAAGTAACACAGGCTTTTATGAGGGGATGAAAAAGATCAAACAAAGATTAACATCTCGAGGGCAAATAACACGCTAAAAAAAGAACAGATACAGTCGAATGGTTTTCTTACACACTCGGTGATCAGGCTGTAATGATTGTGCACGGCTGCGTTTGTTCAATATAAGACAGTAGAGGGACGTTAATGGAAATCCTAACAGATCTCTCACCTTACAGACTAAGTCTACTTTAATGTAAACAATGTGTGCTCGAGTAAAAATGTGTTAAAAAAACGATGAAACGTGTCCGAAAAAGACTGAGAATCATTTCTACTACCTTGAAAAGAGAGGGTCGCTGGTTTGGCTGAGGTTGAGCTGAGGTTTAATCCCGTCCTTTGGCCTCTTTCCTGCATGTTAGTCTGGACTCTCTTTAGTTTCCTGCATCATTAATATGAAGTTTTGAGTAATAATGGAGCTGCATGTACAGAGAAATAACATCAGACTTTAACAAGTGATTTATTCTTGCGTCAGTCGATTCATGGAAATCATCGGTGTTTACAAAAACAAGATATAAACTTTTGACTGACCTCTTGACCTCTGTACAAATACTTCAGATTACAAAGATGTTTTTGCTTCATTTATTAATGGATGGGACCATTTAGACACTATCAGCATTAGAGCTGCCAAAAACAATTAATCTGATAATTGACACGAATACGATTAGTTTTGCGATTATTCGATTAATCGGATCAAATATTTTTAATTTTTGCATTAGCATTTTTGATCTCACTATGACGAACCTGGTTAAAGAAAGGTTAAAAAAATATGTTGCATATTATCGCACCAGCATGCAGCTGCTGTTTTAACACCATTAAATAACCTCCATCTGAAAATGTTTAAGAGTAAGTGCTCACTAAAAAAGAAGACAATTAAGACGGTAGATCATTACAACCTTTTATAAAAGTTTGCTTTATAAGATAGTATTAAAATAAAATACAAAACAAGCTGTCTTGCTTACAAATGTTGATGGTAATTTTATTAGCAGCTAATTAGCCAACTAGCTTACTGAGGCGACGATCCTTCTGCGGCGTCCTCTTCATCAGCCAACCCGGCGTGTTTTAATTCGTCAGACGCCGACTTCTATGAGCTCTGCTGCGAATGTTAGTCCTGGACAAGGTACACACAGCAGAGGCTATGAGTGGAGGGTACTGCGGCACTTTAAAGCGAAAAACAAAGCAGAAGAAAAAAAAATTACATTGATTACTGAAATAGTTGTCGGCCATTTTGATTTTCCAACTTTAATCAATTCATCGAATAATCGTTGCTGTCCTACTCAGCATATGAACTTGTGATATAACTGTTGTTGTATTTCATATCTCACCTGTGTCACATTTCTGACATCAGCTAAATACTGGAGAATATTACAAGACGTGGCATAGGAGTATTTTGGATATTCTGTTACATGCATTTGCTGTATTCAACATTTTTTGACATATTGTTTTTGTATGAAGGGAATTGTGTGTATCAGTAAATCTTCCTGCACTCTTTAGACAGTATTTGTTTTCTTGCAAGAAGTGTTGTAGTGTTGAGCTTCGATTTAGACCGTCAGCACACTGTTGCAAATGCTAACTTTGGTGAGATGAAGGCCTAAAACTCGTGCATTCTTCCTTTCAAGTGCTTTTTGACACTTTTTGCACACCATCGTGTGTCGTAGTGTGTGCTGGTAACTGTGCAGCAAACTCCTGCAGATCAGTCAACATTTAAGAGGAATTCATAGTTTTTATTTGGTTGATTTAGAGATAAACAAAGATCAGAAAGTTGAATCTTTGACTCCCTACTTTTGATGACTTTTTAAGTTTAAACTCTGACACTGATTCAGCAGTTTCCTCTGAATTCAAACAGATATTTTTATGAAACAAAGAAAGTTTTGTTGACTCATGATGTGAGGTTGCGCTGCTTGCACCTTCACTGGGTTTTATTGAGCATCATTTCAGGGATTATTCAAAGATTATTAAAACACTTTAATTTCATTCTACCAAAAGTTTTTAAAGCTGCCACAAAGTCCAACAAAGTAACGGTAACTTGAAGCTTTACACACGTTTCTTCTCTCTGAAAATGATTTGATTCGACAGGATGATGAAATATCGGCAGGAATAAACGGCCAACGGTTTTCTTTTAAACTTTCGACTCAAACTTCCTGAATGGACCTGACGTTCAGGGACAGAGGAGGAGGTTTTAGTCATATCAAACACGCAAACTTCATTATAATTGGGACTTGAACCAGAGTTGACAAACTCCCATCTGCCCTCTGAACTCCACATCCGTCCCTTCTGCTGCGCTGCTGCTCTGCCAAAACAATTCAGGCTTCGACTTCTTCATGCGATCCTTCAAAAGTGCAGGAATGTAACTTTGCTTTGGTGCTAAGGAAACATTTTTACTTCATCAGTTCGGGACACCGCGATGTCTGAAGCTAAATCTGTCAGCTATAGGATCAAATATATCTCTGTTAATGAGTAAAAGACATTTTCTCGGCTCAGTCATTCAGCGTTCCGTTTGTTTACAGTCACTTTTCATTCACTTTTAACAAACTAAAGTTATTCTGCTCTGCTGCAGTGAACGCTGTGTTTGCTGTGATCCGTAGCGCCTCTCCGATCTCAAAATCAGAGTCCAAAACGATCGTTAAAAACACTTTTTCCTGTTTTTGTGGTCATCTATCATCATCTGCTAAATGTTCCCCCAGAACTTTTTGGACATTCATGTTTATTTTCGACGGCAAATATTATTGAAATCCTGTTCTACTTTTCCAACGATTGGCTGCATGTATCCTGGATGTTTTCGACAGCCACACAAATGGACTCTGGAGTTAATCACTGGAAGTCTGATTTCCCTGAATCCTCCACCTCGCCTCATCCAAAGCTCTGAGCCCTCTCATAACTTTCTGCCTACTTTGAAGTTATCTTTGTTCCACTTTGCAGCCAACAGCCTTGTGGTCATGGATCCTCCTCGTACAATCCATCTCTAGAATTGATCGGTCTTTGGCTCCCCGCTGGCCCCCTCTCACCCAGAAATCTCCGTCCCCAATTCCTGCAGCTTAGGTTCAACGTCTAAAGTTCTGTCAGCGCCGCTCCAAACAGACCGGTGGATATCAGATGTTTCCTCCTCTCTGTTTTCTTAACTTGTGACCACATTTTCCTACTTTAGATTGACCTCTCTGATCCCCCCCTTTGTGTTGGAACCAAGATTATAGGAGCCGGGCGATGAAGGGAGGAGGGAGGCTGCCAAGTGGCTGACTGACGCGCTGCCTTTCCTGGGCCGCTCAAGCCTGAAACCTTCGCCGTGCCATCCCCACTTCGGCCCAAGCCAGTCTATATGACTTATGGAGTTTGGGCCCCTCCATTGCCAATCCCACTTAGAGTGCAGTTTTCTGATAAACAAAAGCACATTCAAGCTTTAGCTTCTCATTTCACACTATGTGCTTTGGCTGGAGGCAATGCTTTCCTGGAGCCCCTGGCCCAAAGTCCAAAGAACGGCTCCAGTTGGCTTTCCTTTAAAAAAAAAAAAAAAAAACGAGGGGGGGAAAGACGCCACATGTGGAGGATTAGGCCCCATCTTTCATCCTCCACGCTCTCTGCTCGCCCTCTACTACCAGAGCCATCACTGTGAACCAGCCCCGTGGACATGCACACACAAAGTACTCTTCCTCCACCTCCAACCAACACACACAAACTCACCTGCCTCTCGCTCCATCTCTGTCCCACCCTCACCGCCTCCCCCCCTCCGGCTCTTTTCGCCGTGCACGGGGATTGCAAACATGCACACACAATCTCCCTCTCCGTGTCCGCTCCCCTTTTCGAAGCTTGAGTTGGATTTAAACTTTTATAGTTTGGTGCGGGGGCGTGAATATCCCTGGCTGTTGTCGGAGGGAGTACTCCTGACTTTGACAAAAGCTGTGCAGTTCTGATTCGGAGTATTCTCGCGCTGAAGTTCGCGGGGTAAGCTGCGGCGGTGATACAGTTTTAATTCCATAAATTGTCCTCATTGTGTCTTTGCGTATTCCTCGTGAACCTGTGCGCCTCTGAAAGCTGGCAAATACATCATGCTGCGAACAGAACGGTACATATGGTGCTTCAATCGAGAAGCTGCGCCATCGCCTGCAAATTTATTCCATGTATACCTTGAATGTACTTAACCTGGTACGTGTGTTTCATGCAGCAGATGGATGGGAGGCTGAGACGAAGGTAAACACGACTCTTATTGCTCTTTATATTAGAAATGTCGAGGCTCAGATCTGAAGGCGATCGGAACCCGTCACGGCCCTTTGTCTGCACCTCGGCACAGATACCAGAGCGGTTATTAGTGATGCGCGTGAAACGCTAGCCGAGGCGCGTGATGACCCGGGGGGCCTCGCCTGTCTCAGGGAACAGATGTGCCGCCCACTCGCAACAGTTGTACCCTACCCACAGTGGCCTTGTGGGAGACGCCGGGCTAGCTGCGGACTGAAGATGATACCTCACTTAACTAGCTCCCATGTTGGCTGCAGGGAGGGTGCGTGGCTCCGAGAGGAGGAGGAGGAGGAGGAGGGCGAGTGATGGAGGGAGGAACAGGGCGGGTGTGAACTGCACACATATTTACAGGATCAATATTTACCCAAAATTCTCCTCCAGAGCCAACACCTGCTGCATCTTTGTACAAAGTCGAGAACTTGCTGAAATGAAACCGCCTGATCTGGGCTGAAGATTTCATTAACTTCCCCCCCCCCACCCCCACCCCGATATGAACTTGGAAACTTGATCAAGTTATCATGGCGTTAAAGTCTACAGCAGATTTCTCTCCAGCCGTATTTTTTCCTCTTCAGACAGCTCATTAAAGCAAATACAGCTAATAATGAACATTTTAAAGTCTCATACTACAGACTAATTTTCTTTATTATTTCTTAATCCTTAATGAAGAGTTTCATTTACACCACGCTTATAGAGAAAACATGCATTTCAATGTGCTGAGAGCTAATTCATCTCCTTGTAATGCAATAGTTAGTTTTAATTGCTTTTTAATGTAGTCGGTTGACTATAATATTGCGGAAAACAAACTTTGTGCTGCATTCATTTCATTTCCATTTTGAATTATTTCAGAATTTTTAATGGCTCGCTATGATACGCTTCATATTTGCAGGCTTCTCTCTTTTGCAGTTTACCGTGCTCTCTTAATAAGCGCAGCTCCGGAAACATGCTGCATTATGGTAATTGTGCAAAAAAAAAAAGATATAACTCTTTAATAAAAGGATATTTTAACTCACAGCTTGCCGTCAGATCAAGGCAGAGATATGTGTTGTGAGTGTTGGCACTAAGAGGAATGAACTGTGACACCTAAATCAACAACTCGCAGAAGGACTTTGCCCCCAAATTCATTTGTCAATAGATTGAGTCAATATGTGTTGATCTGTGTGCAGCTCCGCAGCCTTCTGTCTACCCGTCAACACACACAGGACACTGTCTGGCTAGACGTCTGGCCATTAACTGCATTATCTGTGCGTCTGTTGAGTAAAAGCATCAAACATCGGGATGATTTTTTTATTATTTCTTTTTTTTTGTCTGCCTGTCACGGTGAAATCCGGCGTCCCACTTGTTTGAGTGAATGAAACCTGATACGACATAAATGGCGTCCAAATTCAGTCTTTATAAGTGAGGTCTCGACTGATTTAATTACACTAAGTGGTAGGAAGCCCACACGCGCTATCAAATATTAAAGTGGTAATCTGTGAGAGTCTTGTTTTTATTTTCACTCGTCTCTGGTGGTGTGTCACTCGCTGCTGCACTTTAAAAACTTTAGCTGTCAATCAAGCACAGTGGGCGGGATGTAGATGTCTTTTAAGTCCGGGTTTTAGAAGTGTCCCGCAGGTGGTGCTTTCTTTTCTGACAGTCCTGGTGTTAATATAATTCTGATTTTTACTCCTTCTCGTCCTGAAAAGGTGTCACCGTACGGAGTGTGAGTTTCCTCGTAAAGTTTTCAAGTCAAAGACCCTCCGAACGCTCGCTCACACACAGACACAGGGTTGAGAGAAACACGCCACCACTCTGAGTTTGCTGCTTCACAACACAAAGACTCACAAAAGGCACGTGAATCTTTCATCAATGTGACTTAATTTTGTGAATTCTGGGACAAAATGTAAATATTTACTTGTTGGATTCACCCGAAGAGAGCAGACCAAGTTTCAGTCCAGATTCTTCTTAAAAATAACATCACTCATGTTTTAAAACCAAAAAGAATAATGCCAGAGCTGCGAAAAACTGCAGTTCCACTAGTGTCCACTTGAGGCCCATTTAAAAGACAACTTTAGCAACTGTTTCTAAATTAGTCTGAAACTTTGAACGGTGAAAATAACTCAAATGTGACAAAACTAAAGGGAAGTTTAGAAAAAAAAAGTAATTTCATTTTAGTCAAAACTGTCTTCAAACTAATCCAGTTTGTCAGACGTGAGTATCAAGACATAACTTTTGTTAGTTTCATTCTCTAAACCCTTAAACTCTTGTCATATCTGGATTTCTCACCTTAACTGGATGCTCTAGTTCAGTCTCTCCCACAATGCAATGCTGTTACTCATCTGCTGTGATCATATGGAGGAATGATCCTTTTTCCAAGTCAAGACAGAAAACTGTTTTTCTGTGGTCATTATGTATATTTTTGGATTGACTTCTTCTGTTTTTGTGAGGTAGGTTAGTCGGTCCAGGCTCAGCCCCTCAGGATAGACATGTTGGACAAACACTTAGTTTCCTCATCTGCATCTTCATCTTCACTGATTTAGAGTCGATCTTATGGAGCTGTTGACTCTAAATGTAAAAAAAAATACTGAACAAACAACTAATGGTAGCAGGTTTTGTTTTGCTTTGTTTTTTTGTTATCAGCATGCGTCAGGAAAGTTGTAAAGGAATTAACCCTGCCAAAGAGTTATAATGTCTATATTTATACTTTTACTTTGTGAACCCGGTTAGTTATGGAAATTACAAACCTGATAGGGTGAGACTAAACCCTGACCTCACTGAGACTGAGAACAAACCCATGTTTTATACAGTCAGCCTTTACAACTAACAGTCATGGTTGGGGACCTCTTGTTTTTTTTAACTTACCTAGTGTGTTGACTTGAACTTTCATGCTTTCTAAAATCACAGTGACCTTTTGTTCAAACCTGCCTAATAGAACCTAATAGAAGTCTCACCTCTAACAAGACAAACAACCAATTACAGTTATAGATTTTGGGGTGGCCAAACAGAGTTGACTGGGCAGTGCCACCCCTTGCCGCCTTGGTGGGCGCGCCCCTGCTGTGAGAGAATTTGGGTCTACTTTTAAATGAGACAAGAAGGTATTCATAGGTTATAAATGGGATCAATCGTCATTATGTTAACTTATCATTCAAACCAAGACGGTTTAGTCGTTGTCGACTGTGAACAAGAAGGCTGTAAGAGTCGACTCTTATATGTGAATGATGTGAGAGCTTTTTATTTTCCCCCTTTCAGTTTTTACTGCTCAGACAGAACCGAGGAGGACTGACTAAACACTCCTTCAAAGTGTGTGCGGCGCAACCAATCAGACGCAGGCAAAGAGGTGATGACGGTATCCATAACAGCGGTGTTTGATGGCGGTATACTTCTGCTTTTATACCAAAAAAATCATGTGATTTGGTTTATTCTGGGAAGGATGCAAATTATTATAATAGCAATTGATAATTTTAGTAAAATTAATCCACAAAAATCAGTCATAAAATTTAAAACACAAGAGCCTGAATATTGTTATGAAGAGCTGAATCTTATCAGGATCACTGAAAAGAGTTGCATGATTTACTGGTCAACTTACTGGTCGGCAGTTTAAGTGACCTGAGTCCAAAAGTCCAAAACCCACCAGACCTGACCCACAAAAGCTCCCTCTCAGTTTACACTTTAACTTCTGTCTAATTTGGCCTTTTTTCTCGTACTTGACGCACCGTAAACCCTCGGTGTGATGATGAAGCAGCGCTCTTTGAATCAGTTCTGCTCTGGAGCCGTCAGACGTCGTATGTCGTATCGGTCTGTACAAACAAACGTGACTTAAAGGCTTTCACAAACACGGTAAAGAGTCTTTGCAGCTTCCTATTGTATTTGATAATATATACATCACAGACTCAGACATGAAGATATGAATCTCCCTCTTTGCTCATATTAAAGAAACCTTAAGGATTTTTAGAGAACAATTCAGCAAATTAATAATTTACTCTGATTTTGAAGATTTGCTGATTTTATTCTGATAAATTTGGCTTTAACTTTATAGGTTTGGCACAACTTGTGAAATCATGTCAGAAAAAATGACTTTTTTGGACTTTAAATGGATGTTTGGTGATCATTTCAGGTCCAAACTGCCCTGTTGGTGAATCCTGATAGAAAGTTTTCAGTTTTTCCTGTTTTTAAATATCCTTCTTCTGTGCGTCTTACCTGCTGGATAATAAAACGTATTGCATTTATTGTGAAGCTTAAAAGCCAAATCCGGCTGCAGAGATGATCCACAGACCGTTTTTGAACGACAAGTACCAAACAGCGTTCACATTTCAGACAATAAATCATTAGTAACAACCATGGCATCTCTTCCCCTCTCATCCTTTCCGCTCCCCCCTCTCCAAACCCCCGCCCCCCCTACCCTCTTAATGCCAATCAGAGCAAGCTGGGAAGATTCCCTCCAACTCTTGAGATCCAGCATGTGTTTCTCCCAGAGGGGAAAAATTAATTCCTCCTCCTCCTCGGCATCCTCCTCCTCCCTTTTTCTCCGCCAAGGTGCAGCGTGCTCCCTCTCTTTTCTCTCTCTCTTACTCTCTCTCTCCTCATCTGAAAGAATACAAGAGAATGAGAACCTCTCCTGAGGGGATCCAGCTTATATACTATTTCATCCGCATTTAAATCCTCTGATAAATGCGAATGTGAATGCCTTAGCGGGGAACTTGCGAAATAAAGAGAGATTATTTTCTGTAGATACTAATATTAGTCTTTTGGCATGGGGTGTAGTGAATACGACACCCGAGCGTGGGGAAGTCTATTGATGGTGATTTAATCTAGTGTAAGCATTGCTGCTTGTCAAAAGAGAGGAAGAAAGGGAAGAGGAATATGGGTTGTTTTTTTATTTACATACCTGTGAGAATGACGATCCATTCAAATAGATGACTTATCAGGCCAGAACAGAACCTCCCTCTCCCCACAGGCGATGAAGAGGAAGAAGAAAAATAAGTTAAGTCTCATATTCTTCTCACTGGGAGCTTTTGTTGTTTTCAAAACTCTTCACTGCAACTTTTCTAACGACGATTGTGAGGATCCCAGTCTTCATCATCCAGGTATCCCACTTTACAGGAAAGAAATCTCCGTGTTTTCTTCTGTGCTCATTGTTTTTACCCAGGACTGTCATTTCCAGCGGCCTCTGTGCGCCGAGACACACAAAGGTTTCCGTCACAAATATTCCTTTCAGGATCTGTTAGGCCTTGCTTGTCATCGGGATGAAAAGGAATCGTGGGGATTTTTGTGCTTGCCCTTAATCTCCCTAACTGATGCTGGGAGTGCAAATCAAATCCAATTATAGGCAATGTGGGCCTTCAGCCTCTTTGAGGAAAGATATTGGAGACACTGATGGTTATCTAATGTTTTTTTTTTCTCTCCTCCTCCCTCTGCTTTGAAACAAGCAGTAGTGAGCGAGGTCAGAGGAGCAGATCTGAGCGCTCGCAGGACCCCACTCGAGGTGTATTTATTTCCCATTTCCACATCAGGCCTTCCCTTCTCTTTTCACGCTGAGATTATTAGGCCTCTGAAGGGTTTTACAATGTGAAAAGATGACCTAATCTGCAGGAGACAGGGCGCTGTGATTGCATTCGCAGTCGTCTTCGTGGCAAAATGAGACTTTATGATTTCTAAATTGATAACTGCAGGTGGAGAGCCCAACTCCACTTTTTACAGCCCTCATGCATATTTTAGGATTTGAATTAACATGCTTTTACTGAAATAGCTGTAAAATCATACATTTATCAGTTGACTTTATGACTTTTGGGTGTAGTTTGAGGACAAGAAGACAGAATTTTGAGTCAGTGAGCCAAGAGTGGAAAAAGATTGGAGAAAGGAATAACACGTCTAAAATCCTACAATCAGAAACTGGTAAAAAAAAAAAGAGAGGAGTAATCTTAGCAAATAAAAGTCCCTAAAGAATAAAATATTTACATTTAAAGGGTAATGAACAGTGAGAGATTGTTTATGCAAATTTGGATCCTGAAAAGCAAGAAGATGCACTTACCAGATCTGCTGACAGTACACGCATTGCGGGACAGGATATTCCTCCACTCTTCCTGTCGGAGACGCTCGGGGTCCATCAGCCTCTGGGGCTGAAGAAAATCCAAAACTATTATAACTTTAGTGACAACTAGCGATCATTAAACCCTGACTTCACTGACCGGTCTGAGACGGACTCTGGAGTGTCAACAGGGACAGGTCAGTCAATTGATTTGAAACACTGTGTATGATGAACAATCGCTTTGCATGCTGGGTAAACAGTGAGGTGGACCAGTCTTGCAGGGTCACGTTTTAATCCTGTTCTCCTTGATCTGGTTACGATCATGCATTTAAAGAAAGTGATGGCGCACTACTGAGTAGAGGAACGTTTTAAAGTACCAGTTTTTATGTTGAAGTGACCAGGAAAGGTGGACTGTTTCAGTCTCAGTCTGTGACCGCAGGCAGCTGTATCACACAATCATCAATGCGACCACTAAAAAGCCAGCTGCATCCTATACACCAGTACATCCACCCAGTATACCAGTATAAAGTGCAGATGGTGGTATTCTATTGTGTTATGAAACGACTGTTTCAGTGTACAACATGCCAGGAAGGAAGTGGCTCCACTATTTAACAGTTTTCCTCCTCGTTTGGTTTTAATGAAGCAGTGAAAGAAAACAGAATTATACCTTTAAGTAAATAAATATGTGGAGTGCAATTAATGTGCAATTAAAGGTAATGGCAGGCTCGCATATCCTGGTGACTCACAAATATCAACAGGACCATAGACTCTGCTTTTTTTCCCAGCAGGATGACGATAACAGATAATTCTAGAAAGAGCTTCACGTCTGCATAAAACCTGCAAATTTCTGAACACGATGGAAGTCATCATGAAGAAACACAGTTACACGTTTTCACAGTTTACAACCTTATTTACTTATTTTTATTTACTGGATTTGATGGTTTTGAACACAGCCTGTTATCAGGTAAAAAAGCTGGATGATCGTATGTTATTGTGCGATTTCTGCAGTCATTGATTTGTAAGTTGTACATGCGCGCTGTAGTGATAAATGTAACAAACTCTAGCCACTCTAATTTGTGTTTAGTTTGGTCATTTTAACTTATTTCACTTTTTTTTTTAACAAATCTGGAAGAAATACCTCAAAAGTGTTCATGTGCGTAGTTAATGTTGAACACTGGTTGCCTGCATGCTCAGTAAACTCATTTTTCATTGGATGATTGCTGGTTGGGGTTAATTTAATCCCTTTAATCTTTCTGTATTTTCTTTAAAAAAAAAAAAAGAGGCTACGTGTTAATTTAACATTCTGCTGTGAGGCCCATGAGCAGGGGCATGTCTAGATTTTTAAACTGGGGTGGCTCAGCCCGGGCTCTGACCTCTGCAGGGGGGCCATTCACACACTAATGATTTAATTTATTGACCTTTTCTTTCTCCATTAACTAAAGGTACTTTACTTCCTGATACTGATTAATCAGACTGATATTATCCTTCTGTGTTCGACTTTTTATCGAAGAAAATCTTTTACGTTTAATTCTTTAAGGACTCAAACATTCGCTCTCAGTCTTCTTTTAAATTATTTTAAAAATATACAGATAAATTCTTTTTACTCACAAGTACTTCATTGGCAAAGTTTGATGTGAAATTGTTTGTAGTTTGAATAACTGAGTGAAACTAAAGCTACAGGCAGCCTGTTGCAAAACAGCTCAAGTTGTTGGTTTTGACCCAAGTCCCATGAGAAGGTCGTAGGTGAAGGTTTTTAGGGGAGATCAGCAGGGTTCCTACACAGTTGGAATTTTCATACTTTTTCATACCCTACTTTTTATTTTTATTTTTGGAAATACCGACTTTTCTATTTTAGAAAACAGTATTTTCAAATTGTGGGAATAGTCTGGAAACAAATATTTTTCCATACTTTATTTTGCCTTTTCCGTACTTTTTAAGACCTGGAAATTGATTAAAAATGTATATCCATACTTCTCCATACTTTTCCATACTTGAAAGAACCCTGGATCAGTTTTAAGGGGGGCCAGGCCACCCCTGGACGCACTTTTGGGTGCACCCCTGCCACCATGAGCTGGGCTTTGTACCCGCTATCGAGATCCACATCATGCAGCTTTGATTAGAGCAGGATATAAATTAATATTAAACGATCTGTCCTGGACTAATTGAGGTCAAAATCAAAATGCAGAAATGACTCAGATGCTTCTTTAAGACTTAAAAGGTCTGAAACACAGATTTTGGATTCACTGACACAAACTCTTATCAGTGGTAATCCCTGCTTTGGAGAGCATGGTGAAGAATGTCCCTGTTAAAACTAATCTACGATTACAAAATATCTCAAACTCAATAAACTGAGATTATTCAAATCCCTCATGGTATAATCGCACCCAAGTGCCACCATGTAATCTGGACTGAACGTGTTTTGCATTCATCTGCCTCTCTCCCAGACAGCATGTAAATAAACCTTCCTGTGGTGTAAACTTCGGCGTTTCGCTGCTTATTTTGTTCATTAAAATATTAATCACAGATTAAGCCCCTTAATACCCTATGGATTGCCATTTTAGAAAACAAATACAATAGTTCCCCCACTCCTTTCTTTGCAGGAACCTCCTGGCATCTCAGGAATCAGCCGCATGTTTCGCTGCTGAAAGAAAGACAGGAAAGGATAGAACTGTAATCCCTATCAATGCACTTTACAAACCACCTTCTTGCTAAAATGTGTGACTAATGGGCACAAATCTGCGGCTTTAGAAGCTGTCAGCGAGGACTGCCGAGGCCGTTGTTCCACTATTCAGCGCGTAAACGTAATAAACCCGTCCCGTTTGTTTTTGCCATTGCTGGAGTCTTTTTGTCTCTGCTCAGAGCAAATGTACCTTGAGGTCTTGTGTAGGGTTTCTCTTTTCAAGCTGTTTTTTTTTTTTTTAGCTTTTCCTCCTCCCGCCTGGTCTGTGTGCTGCTTCGTGGTGCAGTAATGACATTAAAACACGAACACTTAAAGGGCTTTTGGTGAGAGCCGCATTGTCTGCTGTGAAGGCTTCCAAAAAGAGGCTTTTATTTTGTTGTGGGATTTAATGCCAGTGTGTGTTACCTGATAACATTAAGGCAGAGCAGGGAAGCAGGAATATTCCCCGACTGGCAAAGCTTCAAGAATATTGACCACCAACAGGATTGCAGCTGATGCCGGCCATGTATATTCATGTGCTCAGAGTGGCCTGATTATAGCTATTACAGAATTATATCCAGGGGAAGCTCCAGTCATTAGCTCTGATTTCTCTTTATCTTGCGTCAGAGTGCGAGGCTAGCTTAGCTCGACGACTTCTAAACAACACGCCAAAGAAGAGTAGCTGTCAGCTTGGAAGTTTCAGGGAGCTTTCTGTATATTCAAAAGCCTCTGCAGTGGGGGCTTTAGTGTAAAAGTTCCCAAAGTAAGGACTTAAACATCAATACTTGAATAAGCGGGAAAATAAATCCCCTCAAACTTCCTTCAGAGTGATTTCTTTCCGGCAGGTGAGATTTTGTGGATCCAAATCAATTTATGTTGTTGTTTTTGCAATGGCAAGTTAAATACACTTTGGGAAATGAGGTGAATGAAACCTATAAAATGAAGTTTGCTTCCAGCTGAATAGTTAATTCAGTGCATCCAGAGAGAAAAAAAAAAGAAAAGAGCGAGTCTCTCTTTTTTTTCTGCTCCCCTCGCTGCCGTATGTGAGGGAGAAATAATGACAGTGTTTCGGCGTTGTTTGATCATCCTTAGCAAATTTGAATGCCAAATTTGTTTTGCAGGTGTTGCTCATGGAATAATTGAGCTGCATAATGTGGATAAGGTGTTGCTACCATACTACACTTAATACGCATTTTAAGCACCAAAACAGCTCCAGCCGTACGGGAGCCCGAAATCATTACAAGTTTAGTTTTTGAGCTAAAAAGGGATTTTTCTGTGGACAGGGTCTGAATTTGAGACAGAAAACACATTTGTGATGTAAAAAACGGAAATAAATAGAACAGGGAGGTTTATTAAATCCACATCACCAGAAATAGATCAATATTAC